CTCCTGCACTTTAAGGTGCAAAGCACATACCGAAGCGTGTAGCGGTACGTGTCAGTCTAACTAGTAGTATTTGCATAGCCACTGTATCAGACCCAAGAAGAGCTATGTCATCCGAATACTCCAGGTTTGTCAGCCGATCACCAAACAGAACTTCCACTCTGGTAGTCTGAAAAGAACCGACTGATTCATGATCATTTCGATCGCAAAGTTGAAGAGGAAAGGAAATATAGGACAATCCTGGCGAACGCTACTTGCCATGGGGAACTCAGGAGACAATTTTTTGAAGACTTCCACGGCCTCGGGAGTCACATTAGAGACTTGAACAGGTCTGGAATGAGCAAACCATCCCAACTAGCTGGAGTGAATCGAGCAGTGATAATATACCAGAAGGGCAGTGGCATCAAATGTGAGAACTGCATGAGTATTAGGCTAACGCCGATGTTGATGGAACTACTGTCCTCAATTTTCGTCCGCTGTCTCATTGCGATACAGGAATCCCGGATTAGGGAAGAGCATGTAGGCTTCCTACAAGGACGGGACCATTTACACCATATGTTCACTCTGCGGTAGGTGCTAGAGCAGTGCCACACGTGCAGCAGACCGACAAAAGTCGTGTTCCTAGACTTAAAGAGTGCGTTTGACTCGGTCGATCAATACATTCTGTTCAAGATAGTTGTGCGGAAAGGCGTTCCCATGAAATATGTGAACATTTTACGTATACTGCATTCGAATAGCGCAAACTGTCAGGATCTAGGGTGAGTTAGCAGATGTCTTTCGGTCAGCAAGTGGTGTTCACCAGTTACCCAATTTCTCCATTTTGTTCACCTTTCTCGTGGACTTCATCATGGAGTGATCCGTTGCGGAATGTAACGATGCAGGCGTTGGGGTGCTGCCTAGTGGAAAATATTTAAGTTTGATTATACGGACGGTATTGTCTTGCTATTTAACGATGTTGGGGTGAGCCAGTGATTCCTGACGAAACTCTCTATAGTAGTACCATCGTTTGGCATGCGCTTCGCACCTTCAAAGTACAGAATGTTGTCGCAGGAACATCAGCCACTTGATGATACAACGACCACTGATAACGAGGAACTCGAGGTAGGCAGCAAGGGGAGTGTGGATGCTGAATTTAGTTCACGTACCGTGAAAATGAGAAGAGCCTTCTTGAGCCCGCGACATCTGTGGTGTCGGAGGAGATTGCCATCGGTCTGAAAAGTTGTGTGTATAAGAATACAGTGAGGGCCGTCTTAGTCTACGTAGTGAGACTTGGCCCCTTTAGTCTGAGGCTCCTTGAAGTTTTGATCAACGTTGTTTCCGAAGCATTGCTGGTATCGAACAGCACCAGAGTATCCGCAACGATGATGAGCGTAGACGAGCACTAGGCAGTGATAATCATGGCAGTTCCTTAAAAGAAAAAGTAACATTAACAGAGTGTTGACTTGGGCATGTACTACATATGTCGGGTTACCGCTTACCGAGGAAGACGTTGTTTTGTTTGCCAGATGAAAGATGGTGCATCAATCGAAGTGGGGAAAAGTTGATTTGGCAGAGGGAAATGAAGTCACTGACGATCAAAGTTGATATCGTCGGTCCATCTCGCCTTCCAGGCTGATGTCCATGCGACCCACCTTATGCTTGGCTCGAGAGTTTACAAGATATGGCTCCCAGCCGGGATCAGTGGCGCATCTGCTGTAATCGCCTAGTCTGGCTACCTGTTTAAATTGTGTCTGATCCTGTTATCTGCGGGGCAAATGTCGACTAAAACCCAGGACAGTGAAGACAGCAAGGAAGCTGCCTCACCGATGCCGCCTTTTCTCTACACGATAGCCAGCTGTTTGTGACGGTAAGTAAGTGACAAGGCGTAGACGCCCTGACCCTGGATGTTTACTTAGAGCATATACGTCTTACCCCAGGTCCCCTTCTCCCATTTATTATTTTTCGCTCAGGTCACTGCAGTTGCACAAAAACGAAGCATCAGTTCAGATGGCTGATGTACTGCCGCTGTTGTTGTTGGTCTGGTGTCGGAAAGCACTTTTGCAGGAATTCCGTGTGAACAAGAATGAAATCTTAGCTTGCTCACTGCAGTATGGAAATTAGTTGAGGTCAGGGAATCAAACTAAAAAACCTTAAAATAGATCACAGAATGAGGAATCAGCCAAAACATGTGGGATACTTTAAATATAGCGGAAACACCCAGAGGAATCTGATGAGGATAATTCATTCCCAGTGACTACGTATCTCATCGAGAAAATGGCTAGTTTCGTACGGGCGATGGAATGCTTTGTCTGGCTTTTGGGTGCGAAACCTAGGGTAGACCGATCGCAGAGTTTATCTAGGGAATGTTGAATAACTTTTGGAATTCAAAAGAGATCCACGAGATAACAGAGTTACGTCTTCTGCAAAACAATTGTGGTTGCATGTCAGGCTCTCCGACTAAAGTTTGTGCACGGACAGGGAACAGTAGCGATCCAGTGATTAAACCATGGGAGACCCAACTAAAGATAGAATGGTAGAATCGGCTTTAAAGATTCTTTACTGAGTAGTCTCCGGATCTGAGGAAAGTGAGGCAATTGGGTCTTCGAAACACGGATTCGAGGATAAACTAAGACGAATGGGTATCGGGAATTGATTTGAGTTCAAGGTTGCATTCAAACCTATCGAGAAGTCGCACAGTTGGAGCCGACAATGTGGCTTTATGGCGGCCACTAAAGTGTTGACCAGGTCGAAGAGCATACGATGACTCTTAATCTACGTAAGTGGACAATCAGAATGGTTGCGAAGTGTTGTATTTCTCATACGGATCATAGAAGCATTGTCAGTTTTTAGCGACAATGTGAGCAAGGAAACCCGATAAGAAAGTCCCAATGGCGTGCTTCTCTCGAAACCATCTAAAGGACAAATTTGGAGCTGGGCAATGATGCGATAAGTGGAAAAATTAGGTAAAGGTTGTGATATGCGCTCCGAAAGGAAATCGGTATACCACATTTCTGTCAAAAAGATCAATCAGAAAGACGAAGTGTACAGGTGATGGTGTGTGTATAGACGACGTCATAAGGCACGAACACGTCAAGCAACTAACAAGCTGCAATACAATCAGGATGAGTGCTACAGGGGTATAGGTCGACACCAGGAGTAGTGATAGGTGGAGCCAAGCATGAGAAAGGATAGTGGGGTACAGACACTGAAAAGCACGAGCTTGAAGGGTGGGTAGGGCTAGGATGGAGAACGAGGCGGATTCTCGGCATAGGGAAGATGGATGACATCGAGGGAAACAGAAACAACCGGGAAAGGACACCGATAGACGCAAGATGAGTTGATCTGAGCTAATACAGATCTCGCTTAAAGGTATGCTTATCCAGCATAATACACGCTGCAATAAAAAGATTGAACTTGCAGACCACCATAAAGCATTCAAGCTATAACCGACTTTTCAACAGGGCTTCAAAAGTTAAACCGAAACTGAGACAGGATTCGAAGGAAAAACGTTTCTAAGTTCGATCATCTGATCTCTAGAATCAAACGGTCGCCTGTGTCGCGGATAACGCTTCCTCTGGTGGACATAAGTGCAATGCACCTAACATCTCAGATAGTGTTATGAGTCAAAAAGAGCGTAGATTGTTGAGAAAAGGTCATATTTTTATCAGCAATAAAGCCAAGATCTATGCAGTTGAGATTATTCTAAATGTTAAAAGTTACTCGCTGAAAATATGGAGATCATTAGTGAATAGCAAGTAAATACCATTAAGTATCAGCCAACTGAGGAGCATGATATCGCACCAGCTAAAAGCATTATGTTGGTGAAGTTGAAGGAAGATGATGGTATCGTAATCACAAGGGCCGATAGAGGAAAAAAACAATGGTGCCACTAAGTCAAATTATTTGGAAATAGTAAATAAGCATTTGTAGACGAAACCATAGAGGATAGTGTTGACCGGTTATCTGAGCAGAGCAGTTTTGCTGCAAAATCCAGAGAGCAGAGAAGGGTTTGCTATTTTCTACTAGGCGTTAAAGAGACCATCTCAACTGATAGTAGGACGTCTGCAACAAAGTTGCCTGACATGGAGAACCAGTCATAAGCCACCAGTCAAGCTGAGGTGTAGGTGTTTCCATTTGTATTACTGAGAATGTAACCGATCCGATTTGATAGGAATTTAGTCGTTTGCGGTGCAAAAATTTGATGTCTATCAAAATTCGGAATTTATACTTGTTTATTCATTCGTAAGCATGAAACATCCGGGTTTTTCGATCGACCTCTTAACAGGATCATCGCATCGCGAAGCCGAGCAATATGCCATTAATTTATTTGTTGGTAATAGCTCACGGTAAAATGGTGCACTTACTATGGCTAGGCGTCAGCACTCTACTGCAGCTGAAGAGTGGGATAAACTCATCTAACACATCGGTGATGAGAGAGGCAGATATACATTGTGGTCTAGAAACTACAGGTACTAAGAGACCCCAGACAAATAACAGTGAAATAAACTGCACCTATGTAACAGTTAAAGCGATGGCTCTTCGCAGGCGAGCACAGCATGGCTTGATGCGCTCACAAGTGAGTAAGGTGTCTTTTCAAGCTGCGCAGATGTAGGAAAAATGTTGACCACTGAATGCCGTTGAGGAGTCTTCAGTTTGTCAAACCCCGCACACATACAAAGCAGTGGGTTGCTAGTAAGAGTCAGTACGATCCCCACACCGGTGGTCAGTTGATTGTATGACATGAAGGCAAAAGGAGGATGTCAAAAACGTAACGCACAATGGCCGTACATGCATGAAAAAACGCGATTGTTAAATGGAGCCAAGAAATTATCAGGCGTCCGATTAGGAGCCAATGGTGTTATATATGGACATAACGACGTATTATGTGGCATTGGATTCAGTGATACAGAACAGTATCCCTAATATGGTAGGCTCAACTTCCACTAAAGGTGTGATCTGCGGTTAACAAGTACAAAAAAGAAAGGAAATAGAGGTGCCAATGTGGTTAGTCTGGAGGGACTCACCGTATGTTCAATACCGGAGTACTCTCCCTCAGTATTCTCACGGATGGTTACAAGGTCCACATTCGTATACGGAGTCTTACAACCTTCTATCGATTTGCATGGCCGCACATTGGCATACAGGTTGAACTCCCTGTTGAAAATAACCAGATTGATAAGACAACTAGAATGATTATGCCGTGAGGCAATTGGCGGCTAAGAGCCCAATTATTTTGCCTCTGATAGCCATACATGTGCTCTGTAGCTTCATAACAATCAAGACGGTTGTGTCGCGAAAAGCATAGCGATGTGCCCTATTCACCCGTAGCTCAGTGGTTTGAATTGCTAGTCTGTGAGAGTACGCTAATGGGTTTGGATCCAGTAGGATCGAGCGGACATGCGTATTTGACGAGTTGCAATAGGGTGAAACAGCCATGTGGTGCATTCTCAAATATGTCATAGCCGTCTGACTGCTAAGAGCCTTCTCAAAAAACAATACAGATGTACATACTATCTAATAATTAACAGAAGTAGCTGAGAAGCAGAAGGGATGCAGATAAGGTACAATGCGAATATTTATTGTAAATGTCTGCAAGCAGTCATTAGTAACGTGATGTCTTACTTTCGTAGGGCAAGATTAAGGGACTGATGGCCTTTTCCGATCGGTGTGGTCAAGGGGCCCTTTAATCCAATGCCATGCTTTCTGATAACATCTAATGAAGACTGGGGCATGCGAAATCGGCCATCCGATGTAGGTTCGGGGGTTACATCGACGGACTCCCAGTTGACAGGAACCTGAAACAAATTGTGTATTAAAGCAGCAAAGTAAAGAGATTAGAAATATCCCGTGGAACAGCGAAGTGAAGCGTAGATGTCAGATGAAAAAAACGGTAAAAGAATTCGGTATTAGAGTGTAACGTGATGAAAACAATAAACCAATAACCCATGTGCATGTCAAGTACGTAGACGAGTACTTTTCGAACTGATGAAAATCAAAAAGCATATATATGTATACACACATATATGAAAGCAGATGATTACCCTTAAAACATCATTTGGCAAACTGAAGAAGTAAAGCATATACGTATGGATGAGACCGTTTCGCGGAGATTGCTCACAGTTGATTGCTACGATTCTCGTTTGTCAAACAGCACGATGAAACCGAATGACAGAGGAAAATGGAACAGCTCCGTCGAGTGATATTTGTTAAAGTGCGGTAACTGGCGATGGACCCGTGAGACCTAAATGAATAGGGCGCGTGAAATGTGCACACACACACACACACACATAACATGGGAACAATTCTTCGGCTTGGCACATAGAACGGAATAGAACGATCGATAGGACAGAACGCACACCTAAAATCGAAGGACACACACAGCGATAAAAGCGAGGTTTTGCCAGTAACCGGCGCACATCGCAGAATGATGACTGGATTCTAACATGTACAATGGGTTGCGCGGCTCCGTGATCTGTTGAGCTACGTCGAGTTGCGTTTTCCTAGTGTTCTAAGAATCCTTCGAATCAGAAAAGTCGAATGTCAGACGGGTTAGGAAAAATGAGTCTCAGCAAATGGTTCATTGGAGGTTAGGGAGAGGCGATCTGCGCTCTTGAATCAAAGTGCTACGATGAAAGGTGACAGTTATGGTTTATAAGACAAGCTCGATTGGCGTAAAGCACGAGGTGTAATGACGGTAAGAAAACATTACCTTTGCTAGTTGGGAAGTTACCGCTCACTCCAAGTCAAGCAAACCCTGGTTAAAATGGCACAAACAACCACAAAAGTAGGCAGCATTCGACCGGTGACGGCCTCGAGTAGTTTCCATCAGGATTCTACAAGTAAAGAATCGAGATGGACGTCCTCACCAGTGCCTTGTGGATTAGACTACTGTGTTAAAGGCTCCGGGCGAGGCCAACCATGCAAACCTCCATTTACTGCACTGCACTTGAACAAAACCATTTCGGAATGTGCAGTCGGAGAGCACCATCTGTCTACATGACGCTGTCATCAGTGAGCATTTATTAAGAAGTCGTCGCTAATTTCATCAGTCAAACAAACAAGAAAACTGTGTTCCCTTCCAAACCTGGAGTACCATTTCATACTGGCTCTTTCAGTCTCCACATTGGCTAACAACTGACCTTAGGTATGTACCACCCCACGTTGGAGCTGGTTATGTGTTTACGAAACGCTCACGTAAGATGACAACTTCCAGCTGTATCTAAGCTCATCAGAATCACATCCAAATGATAAGGCGTACAAAGTGCATGTTTCTGATGATAAGGAATCTGCGGTTTGTTGTAGTTAAGGTACCGAAGTGGCTCTCAACGTACGTACAAAGGTTGTTCCTCTAGAATGGACGCAAGCTAGAAATGACCTGTGTACTATACGACATCGAAGATCATCGGGGTCAACAATCAGCAATCGAGGTCGAGGTGCCTTCTTGTAGTTGTAGCCCACGATATCATCAGCTGTGGTCTGAAAGTCTCCCAGATGAACTCTGCAACTCTCTCTCATTAGTCAAGTGGTCAGCAGTAAGGATATCGTGATCGCTGCGCCCGACTTGGATGTCCAGAGTCAGGACAATTTGGAGGTTGTTCTTTACTTTACGAATATCGGGATGCTAATAATGAACGATTCACACAACTAACAATTGATCATAGCCTCTATTTGTGCAGTACAGCTTTCCGACACAAGAGTCCGCATTCTGTAACACGGCAGCCACTGAACAATAGGTACCTAAAACTTCAACTGGCTCCATCGTCGTCGACTATAGATGGTGTACATATGTGGTAGATTGCCCGTCAATCTGGAGAAATCACCCGCACTCTGACAATGCCCTCGTGCGTAAACTTGTATTATACAGGCGTTTAGGTTAAGGAAACAGTCAAATTTTGAAGATGCTGTTTCCTCATTAATTCTACTCAAAATCTACGAACAGGATCAATCCGAGTTGCAGCATCGAAATGGGTGGAAGGTTCAAGTACGGACTGGAATCGACCCCTCTGTGATATGCAATATGCCAGAGGCCACCTATTTTCCCAGCATAAGATGTGTGAATAATGGACACAATTCTAGAGCTGCCGTTAGTATAACTGAAGCAAGCAAGTTAGATCGGCATGACACTTCTAAGGTGTAAGTAAAAGATCGAAAGGCCGCTTGACAAGTGACGTTGGTCCTAGTAAGAGCTCTACAGACGGGCAGAGAGCTGAGATTATGAAAGTCAAGTGCTGTTTTAATCCATTCGACGCAGAAAGGGTCTCTTGATTAAAACAATGATTTAAAAAGGCGGCTGATTTATTCTGAGTCACGTCAGTTACAATGCCAGTCCAATATAAAGATTTCTAGGTGTCACCTGAGCTTGCTCGAGAAGTTGACGGGAGGACTCTATCCATGAAGGAAATAGGGCAATAACTGGTGATGAAGAAGGGCTCAATCATCGTTGACGGGAAAAAGTGGCGACCCATCAGTAAGTGTTTGACTACTCCACTCGACATTATCTGGAGTATGGACAAATTGCTCTCATTTTTGTTCGTCGCAATCAGCCGACAATTCAGATATGTCGACCAGCTGTCCGGAAAAGCACCAGACGGCCGTTTCGCACTATTGGGGCTCATCAGTGGTGCGCATCCTTCGGTCCTCTGCGGAGGATCGAACCCATGACTGCTAGTGGCTCTTGCCAACTAGCCCGCAGCTTATGCAACTGCGCCATGGAGGACGGTATCTGACTATCGTGAATTGGTGCTTTTCCAGACAGTTGGTCGACATATCTGAATTGTCGGCTGATTGCGACGAACAAAAATACTCACCAAAATCCTTCCATTCATAAGTAAATTGCTCTCATCTTCATTACATCAGTCTCATCTCGAGTGCCTCAAAACCACTCGAATATACAATGTAGCGATGGCTCACCGAGCACTGTGAGAGACAAAGTAGTGATAACCAAAAAAGCAGTTACCTCAGCAGAGGATGCATTGACCACAATATTATATTCTTCATTAGGTGCTTGGAAGTCACCACATTTGCTGTTCTACGGCTGTGTTCGAACGGACCGAGTAACGGTTTCGAATGTTTCCCCTACAATCGGAATGGTTGAATGAAATACGAATACCGACTAAAGAGCAAGAAAAGCCCTAACAACTGAATAAGCGAAGACGGAGTAACGCCATAAGCAGCTGATGACGAGAAATGGAGGGCGTAAACCCCGACTCAGCTACAAAGTCGAAGAACAATAATCATCACTATCAAGAGAGATTCACTAAGGCAAATTAGAGGCGAAAACAGGATTGCCAACACTATAATCTAAAACACCACGTTCGATTAGACGCTGTACACTAAAAGCGGTATGAATTTTTCTTACGAACCACGGAGGCACAGGAGCAAGGGAACAGGTGAACTGCTGTAACAATGACACGTAGCCAATAATGTCGAGGTGCCTTGATTTATGGATCGCAGCTGTATGTGGAAGTGCTTTGGAGCGGAGTGTGTATATATCCATATATTCAACACGGCCAATAGTACCATTGGCATAGTGCCACAAAAGTTGTGTGGGAATAGTACTTCCCGGTTGCCCAGGCCAAGGACGAGGGTTGAGTTAGGGGACCCCACCTGGATCATAAAGGCCTAACCCGCAGGGCAGCGGGGCGATTGACGTATATCGCGTTCGTTTGGAGCCGGCTCTCTAGGTGAACGGCTTTCGAGTAGAGGCAAACTACTCACGGCGTCCAAAGAGCCCCAGTAAAGCAGTAAGGACTACCGAGTTCTCCGCGAAGCACGAAGGCCGTTGACAGCCGGGTGGCTCATACGCCTTCATAGAAGCCGGTGGCCGGAGTGTGTGCCCGAAACGCTTCTGTCCTAAAAGCTCTAGGCGCTCCCCGGGGCGGCGCGAGTCTGAGAGAAATCTCTTTCTGAATTCGATGTAGAGTGGAGTGAAACACTTGTGATTAAGTGACGCCCCAGCAGTAGAAAACGAAGTCGCAGTTGCACAATTTTGACGCTCCGATTATTTGCGGATTAACTCTCACAATCTCGACGCATATTGATGCGACTGCGCTCCGATTCGAATTCGCGCGCTCTGTTCAACGGATACAGAACCACAACTTCATTCAGTTTGCATCACAGTTTACCTCGGCACCGCAATTCTAACAGACGTTTTACCGAAACTCACGAGCATAACCACCTCACTTTCTGTATACACATCGAAACTTTTGCCCTTGTTCGAGAGTACGCCGTACCGGCTTCTCAGCCAGCCCTAATTTACGATGATATGACTCTGTGTGAGGTAGGTGCCGCGCCATTTCGCAGTCACCAGCATCACATCTATCGTACCACAGTTGGGCGAACGTTTGCATATGCGTGCCCGCGCCCAATACTGCGTCTAAAACCGCGCTGTTTTTTCATCCAGTGCCTCATATCAAAAAGCCTTCCCAACCCTCATTGTTCCACTGACAGTTCACGCCTGACCTGAGAGTGCAGAGAACGGAACTGGACCATAGCTACTAGGTTATCAACGGATCGGAACTTGATCGGTCTAGATGTAACGCAATCGAAACCGATCCGGATTATTTTGACCAATCGCTACTTATAATGTCCTTTCCATTCGCCCTTACAGATGTTAGCAGATCGAATAGGCACTGGAGCAGGAAATTCAACTGGTCTCCACAATCCATCCGTTCCCGCAGTACACCCTGTTGCCTACCCTGACTCGTCCCACGAAATCCATCCAGCGAAGCGGAAGTATGCTTTGAGATTCGACGCCTGAAGCGACTCAAGGCTTCCGGCTCAGACAGAAATCTTCCAAAGCCGTTCGGGTGCGGCGGCGGAGTGATCATCAACCAAGTGACCGCGTCGTTCGCAAAAAGCTGTCATGAAGAAGTGCTCTCCTCTTGACGTGAATCAGTAGTTGTCGCGACCTCCAAGAAAGACACTCGCACTTCATACAGGGATTAGTCTCATTTCGGCAGACGCCAAGCTACTGGCATCCATACTGCGTTGGAGACTATTTCCGATACGTGAATCATACTACAGTGTAGAACAAGCTGGTTTCCGTTCCAGCCGTGGATGCGTGGATCAAATCTTTGCACTTCGCCAAATCCTCGAACATCGCCACATTTAGCACAGGCCCACTATCATTGCATTCCCAGACATATGGATTGTATCCGTCTAGGTTGAGCAACCTGCTTTATGGTGTTGCTTGCTAAAGAACGGGGTGCTAGAGAAGTATACCG